ATGGGGAGAGAATACTTGCAAAGTCATATACTTGATAAAGGACTTGTATCCTGATGATATACAGAACTCATAAAAGTCAACCATAAGAGCACCATCCCAACTTGAAAATGGGAGAAACGTCTGAAGAGACTTCACCCACAGGAATATAAAACAGGAAAATAAAAAGGCACTCAAGATCATTCCTCAGTAGGGAAGTACAAATGAAAATAACAAGATACCACACATACCTGTTAGAATGTCCCAAATCCCAAAAGCTGACAAAACCAATTGTTGCTCATGAGAATGACAAGCTGTCTGATAAAGTTAAACACAGACTTGGCATACGACCCAGCAGTTATACACCTAGGTATTTACCGAAGTGAAGTGAAAATGTATGTCTACATCGAAACCTGCGTGTAATGTTCCAAAATGTTTATAGTACCTTTATTCATGCATATATATTTTAACAGAGACAGGGTCTTAACTATGTTGACCGGACTGGTCTTAAACTCCTGCCCTCAAGGGATATTCATTGTGTCCATCCTGGGCAACATAGCCAGGCCTCGTCTCTATAATAAATCAAAAAATTAGCCGGACATGGTGGCGCACACCTGTGATTCCAACGTGGAAGGCTGAAGCTGAAGGATTGCCTGAGCCGAGTAGGATGAAGCTGTGGTAGTTATGAGTGTGCCACTGCATGCCAGCCTGGACAACAGAGTGAATTTCTGACTCAAAAAAAAAGGTGGGGGGATCCTCCCATCTTGGCCTCCGAAAGTGCTGGGATTACAGGCATGAGCCACCAGTCTACCTTTATTCATATTCACCCCAAACTGGAAGCAAGCAACATGTCCGACAGCAGGTAAATGGGTAAACAAACAGTGGTACATCCATAAAATGGAGTATTATTCAGTGCTAAAAAGAAACAAAATGATCAAGCTATGAAAAAACATGGAAAGACTTTAAATGTATATTGCTGCCAGGTGTGGTGGCTCACACCTGTAATCCCAGCACTTTGGAAGGCAGAGATGAGAGGATTGCCTGAGCCCAGGGGTTCGAGACCAACCTGGGCAACTTAACGAGGCCTCATCTCTACAATAAATCAAAAACTTAGCTGGGCATGGTGGCATGCGCCTGTGGTTCTAGCTACTTGGAAGGCTGAGGTGGAAGGATAGCCTAAGCCCAGCGGGTCAGGGCTGTGGTGGCTGTGAGCGTGCCACTGCACTCCAGCCTGGGTGATGGAGTGAGACACTTAAATAAATAAATGAATGGATGAAACTAAGTGAAAGAAGCCAGTGTGAAAGGGCTATACGCTGTATGACTCCAGTTACATGGCATTCTGGGTAAGGCAAAACTGTAGGGAAGGTAAGTAGAGCAGTCGCTGCACTAATAGAAAAGAGATTCAGGGTGAGGGGGGAGGGAATGACTGCCTCCTGAGGGGACGGACAGAAGACCTTACGTGGCGAAGGTACTTTGGGAAGTGAACACATGACTCCGTGCACCTGTCAAAACCCAAAGAACTGTGTGTCACAGAGAGTGAACTTCAATATCTGCAAGCAAAAGAACACAACACAACATCACCTAGGCAAGTGGGGGAATCCCAGGATGCAATGCAGACTGACCAAATGCATCTGGCTGCATCTACAAATATGGGGCATCACTGTCCTGAACGGATGAGGGGGGAAAGGAACCGCCCTGAGTAACCTTGGAAAACAGTATTTGGACTGGAAACTGTAAGGCACAGACAAAAGAAAATGAACATAAATGCTGGCCTCCACTTGGGTCAACTTGTTTCTCGCGGGGGTGTAGGTTCACGCTTCTGATACTGAATTAAGTAGGAAAGGAAACAGGTAACAGATGGCAAGAGACAGATTTCTCACTGTCAGAGAGGAAAGATAGAAGAAAGGAAGGAAGGAAGACCAGAAGGCTCCTTTTGACACTGGATTGCAGCTCGAGACACAAGTATGAAGTCATGTTTAGGTTCGTGTACCTAGTGATGGTTAAATACCGAAATAATTATAGATACATGTGTATATATGACACTATATATTGAACATCTGTATCCCTTCCCCCGAGTTCATGTGTTGAAATCCTAACTTCCAATGTGATGGTATTAGGAAGTTTGGTCTTTGGGAGGTCATTAGGTCATGAGGGTAGAACTCTCATGATAGAACTGGGATCCTTATAAGAAGAGACACTCAGTCCGAGTGCAGTGGCTCACACCTGCAATCCCAGCTCTTTGAGCGTCCGAGGTGGGAAGATCACTTGGGCCCAGGAGTCCAAGACCAGCGTAGACAACACAGCAAAACCTAGGCTCTTCAAAAAAAATTTTTAAAATTATCTGGCTGTGTTGGCACATAACATAGTCCCAGCTACTTGAGAGGCTGAGGCAGGAGGATCGCCTAAGCCCAGGAGGTTGAGGTTGCAGTGAATCATGATCATGCTACTGTACTTGAGCCTGGATGACAGAGCGAGACCCTGACCAAAAAAAAAAAAAAAAAGAGCTAGGGAAAGGAAGAGGTCATTGGCAGAAATGTGGGCTGATTAGTTTAGCCTGGACAAATTGGAGGAGAAAGGCTTACAAGTCACCCCGTTAGAGAAACAGTAGGACCTGCTAACAAAACTCTGCCACTGTCACCTACAGACACAATACGGAGCTCCTACAACGTCAGCAAAAGAAATGCTTTCTTGAGGAAAAAAATCCATAACTGATAACATTATTTCGAAACCATACAAGCATGGCTGAATCTCTGAGACCCAAGGCTGGAAAATGCATTAATTAGGATTCTCTTTACACCGAAGATCACAGCGTATTCGAAATGCGGTGTTAATACACCCATGGCATTAACATATTTTTGTGTAAAGGACATGTCTGAAAAGCCCATTGTGTGCTTATCACAACCACATTTCGGTCTCACACTTGTCGTTTTTTGCCGGGACCTCCTTGATCTTCTTTTCCTGACACCTATCATGACAGAAGGTATCACTTAAACCAACAATTGATTATTCTTTACAAGAGAAGTTCAAATATGAGCCTAATTAAAGACTTTCCTAACGCTTCTTTCCCGCTAAAACATGTACTTTTAATAAGGAAAAGCCCCTGCCAAGTCACTCAGACTTTTATTCATGTGCGTGCTTACACACGAGCCATGGCCTCCTCTCGCCATCTGGAAATATCATTTATCACCTAGGAGTAATTGGCTCATTTGCTGGGTTTGCCCTTTAAATGTTCCATGTTCTCCTGACACCTGTGAATTTCATTTAGAAGCTTTTAGGGCTTTTTGCTAGAGATGACACCGTCTAGGAAGGTGTTTTGAAGGATAAATTTGACTAGGGTATTCCTTAATCAAAAGACAAAACTGTTCCCCTAGGAAAGACACACTGTTTTTATGAGAAAGGAGTAAATGCTAGTACCATAGCCAAGACTGTGGGAAGGGGACTGGGGCTACGGCCAGATACACCCATAACTTGTCACACTTATAACTTGGCAAAACAGCAACCTTCCACCATAACAACTGGTTTTCGCAGCAGGTTACAACCAGAGTGACAACCATCACAACTTACCATCGTAACCTGTCGCTCTCACAACAGGTCACAACCACAAATTACAATCACAGCAGGTTACAACACTAACTTGTTTTGCCACATCACCAAGTCTGGCTAATAGTCCCTCTAGATCTGGATGTATACTATGATAAAAGGGTTAAATCTTTGGTCGTTTGGAGGGAACTAAAGGTATCTGGCCTTGGGGAAGGCATGACTATTCAGGGGTATGTGACGGAGTTTCTTTGTGGTGATGATCCTTACTCAAATCGACAGATGGGATGACATTATATAGACACACCCACGCCCACCCACCCACATGCATCTAAGTGTAGGTGAAATCTGATGACATCTCAACAATCTCTGTGGTCTACGGCCAAACCATCCCGGAAGCCCCCGAAACAAGGTCTATACTTGACTTAACGGTATTTTGCCAAAGTCAAGTTCCTGGGTTCGACAATGGACTATGGTTATCTTAGACTTCAGCGTCAGGGAAAGCTGGGTGAAGAGTATACAGGAACTCTCCTGAACTGTTTTTTACAACTTCTTGTGAGCACCATTTCAAAAGAAAATGGTATTTGAAACGAGATCTGACTTGTTAGGGGTCTCTTAAAAAGGCTTGTCAAGAGAAGTTTTGCTTTCCCCATCCCAAGAGGTATACTTGCAATGTCTGTCCCCTCCAAGTTTCATGTGGAAGTGTGCTCCCCAGTGTCGGAGGTGGGACTTAGTGGGAGGGCTAAGGGTCACGGGGGCAGATCCCTCATGAATGGCTTGGTGCCCTTCTTGATTCTCATGGTCACGAGTGAGCCCTAACTCTAGTTGTTAGCATCAGAACTGATCGTTAAAAAGAACCTGGTATGCCTCTTCCGTCTCTTGCTTTTCACTCTCACCACGGTATGCCTGCTCCTCCTCCTTCTTCTACGATGAGTAGAAGCTTCCTGAGGCCTCACCAGAAGCAGATGTTGGCACAGTGCTTCTTGTACAGTCGGCAGAACTATGCGCCAAATAAACTTATTTTCTTTCTTTTACTTTATTTTATTTTATAGATCTGGGGTACAACTCAGGATTAGGTACACAAGTGGACCTATTTTCTTTCTAGCTATTTTATACAACACAAAATAAGCTGACGCAGCAAGTGAGACAGGTTCCCGGGGTCGAAAGGGCTGTTCTCAGTGCCCCTGGCCCTTGGTTACTATCCTTGGTGCTACCTCGGCAAAAAGGCTTCTGCTGGCATAGAAGCAGTCACCCAAACGGTACCTTGGCTTAAGGAACATCAGGGGAATGTGTGGCTTTTCCAAGTTGGCTTAAAAACCCACCCGCCCCTTTGAGCTACACGTCATTCCAAATGAACCCCAACTTGCAAGCAGGGATGTCTGGGAACTACCTCTCGTTTCCTAGAGGCTCAAAAATTAATCTGGTTGCTGCAGAATCCCCTTTTTAACCAGGATAAGGTACGTCTTTAGACAAACCAATGCTCTTACCTTTACCCTTGTCAGGTTTGTAGTCGCCACCCTCCAATAAGTCTTCAAGATCCTTGTCTGAAAAACCTAGGGGAAAGAAAATACACATTTCAATGACACGAAACAAATTTCAGCCGCAAGAAACATATGTTAATGCTCCCCAACATTCACAGAAAACGATCGCCAGTTCCACTTGAGACCGACCATCCTTGATGAAATGGTAAGAGGGCCTTCGGGTGCTCCTCCCACTGGTGTACAAGCCCTACAGAAAGATCCATCACTCTGAGCGTGAGAGGACCCATGAACAGGACGGCTACCACTCCTGCAACTAAGTTATATTACAGGCCAAAGGTCATGGGATTTTGCAGATGTAATTAAGAAACCAAATCAGTCTGGGCAAACCATGAATGGGCAAAAGACCCATTTCGACAAGAAAGCCCCATGGAACCAAGTGTGGAGAGTTCTCTGATGTGGTTTCATATTCCCCATTACACTTAACCCGTAAGAAACAAATCAGTCTGACTTTGCATTAATCAAAAGGGAGACTATCGTTTTTAAAAGCAGGTTTAAACAGGAGAGGCAACAGAGTGAGAGTCTCTCTCTCTCTCTCTCTCTCTCTCTCTCTCTCTCTCTCTCTCGCCGGTCTTGAAGAAGCAAGCAGCCATCATTTCTACAGCCGCAAGGAAATGTACTCTGTCAACAGCCACATGAGTTTGAAAGATGACCCAACCTCAGACGAGACCCTAGCTCCGGCCAACACCTTGACTGCAAGTGTATAAGACCCTGAGCAGAAAACCAAAGGAAATTGTGAGCTAACAAAATTGCCGTAGCTTGCTGAGTTTCTGATAACTTGTTATGCAGCAACAGAAAACTAATATGAGGAAGCAGAAAAATAATTAATTTCATTATAGCTCAACTATTGAGTACACAGCTCTTAATATTCTGTGTGATGAAGCATTTCTGTTGCACTCTAAAGAACTATAGCTGACTCACAAAAGCACTGTGTGACTGTTCCAGTTCTAAGTTGAATTAGCCACTTTGGTTCATGAAGACCACTTTTACTAGACAGAATGAATGATGGATAAACTATGGTTTGGCCAACTTGAATATCTGGCAGAACTTCCCTCGTAAATGAACAAAATAAGCTCGTCAATTCAATAAAACCCACTGATGGCATATGTTGCCAATAAGATTTCAAGTAAAAATTAGAATTCTGAAAAGCCAGTATCTACCACTGTGCGTTTAATGGCTTCCAATGCTTAAAGATTTGTTCAAATGAGATGGGTGGTTACCATAGAACCAACATTAACAGCCCAATCACACTAAGACAGCAGGGTTTGCAGCAGAGAAAGAGCTTAATGATCACAGGGCACTAAGTGAGGGGCTGGGGGGAGACTTCCAATCCAACTCCCCATGGAGTTCTGGACTGGCGTTTTTAAGGGGATCGTGAAGGGTGAGGAACTGGAAAATTGAGGTTGTTTACTAGATGGGGTAAGTGGAGACCAGCCAATGTCAGGAGGGTCCTCCGGATCAACTGATGTCAGTAGCTTCACTGGCACGTAGGAACTGGAAGAATATGTAAATACTTGAAAGGATAATGGAAAACTTAACATTTCACAATGCTCAAATTGTGCTCTATAAAGCAGTTAAGGGGAACTATACTCTTGTAACAGGGTCTACGAGATTCTAGGACAGGTAGGCACCAAGTAACTGTAGGAGGCAGGTCAGAGTTCTGACCTACGCTGACCTGGTGACTGATGTGGAATGTGCTACAAACTGGGTTTTAGTTTCTTCTACTCCTTTCTTCCCTAATTTTATAAAGTTTGTGGGGACGGTTTCATGGGAATGATACTAAATGTGGTTTTTGATTGTGCCCAGTGAAATGTGGCATTACTTGGATATTTTCACTGACCAACACGCAATGTTACAAACCCAGGAATGGGGGAAAGACCCATGTGAACAAGAGAGTCCCAGGGAACCAAGTGTGGAGAGTTCTCCGATGTAGTTTCGCATTCCACGCTGCACTTAACCTGTACGAAACAACCACTGGTCGAGTTCCGGGGTCCTATCAAAGAACAATGTCCACAATAATCTGAAAAGTCTATTAAAATATCCCTCTGCTTCCCCACCACACATCAATGTGAGGCTGGATTTTCTTCACATACTTCAACCAAAACGACAAGTCACAACTGAATCGAGAAGTGGATACGACAAGCAATATTGACAGATGTGACTCCCATAAACAAAAGCTCCTGAGATCTTGATTTGGGGAGTCCTGAGACCGAAAGAGTCTCAGAACCACTGCTTGAAGGTTCTCCTGTGGCTTGAGGTGCCCCCAGCTCTGGCAGGCCCAGAGCGGCCATGTCGCTGATGTCATGAGTGAGCTGGAACCCGACCAAGAGCTACAGAGCTGGTCAGTGGTTTCAACCAGCTGGGACTTACCTCCTCCTCCTCCTGCATTCGGTTTCCCACGGCCACCATCTCGGTCATTGCGATCATCTAAGGCATCAGCCAAGTCAAAATCTCTTCCTTCAGGGAGTCCCAAAACAAAATCAATAGTCCGTAAGTTAATCTCTAGATACCTCATTTGGATACCGGCCCAAAGGGAGCCCCATGGATTCTCCCTTAGTTGCCCCCTCACAGTGGCTACCTTACCCAATGGATTCACTGGCGCCCTGGTGGCTCCTGGCCTCTTGGTTGTGGTGGTGGCTATGTGGTCCCATCTCTCTAAAAGGGCAAGGGAGGAGAGCAAAGAGAGCACATTGAGGGACAAAATGTGACATCCACTCATGACTCAGGGAAGTACTCTCATGAATAGCGTACTCTTGTCTTGGTCCTTGAAGCCTCTCTATGACCGCCGAAGAATCATTTTGAGGTGGATGGCAAAGTTTTTAAAAGGTGGGTTCTCACTTTTTTTTTAGGGGATGGAAATTGTGAAGCAAACAGAGTCCCACATGTGACCAGGTAAAGCTGGGACTTGAGTCCAGATCTGCAGGAGATGACTACATGGACCAGAAACTTCCACAGCTTAAGCATGACCCTTGAGAACGTCAAATCTTGGATCCGCCACTGTCACTTGAACCATGGATAATCCTGCCCAGGGATAAACTGGGTCTACAGTGCTTGTAGAGTATAGGAATAACTTATAAAATGAAAGTGGTTAAAACACACACACAATTTTATGTAAGTGTGATTACTATTGTAAATATTAGGTCTTTGGGCTCAACCAGATTCCTTTAAAATTAATGACAATATAGAAATGCATACGGAAACATAAATGCCATGAATAGCCAAAACAATCCTTAACAAAAGAAACAAAGTAGGAGGTATCACACTTCCAGACTTTAAAGTTTACTGCAAGGCTACAATAATCAAAAGAGTCTCGTTTTGTACAAGAACAGGCATATAGCCCAATGGGACAGGATAGAGATTCTGGAAGCAAAATTTCTCAACCAACTCAATTTCTCAACCAACTCATCTTCGACAAAACCTCCACCAACAACCACTGAGGAGAGGAGAACCTATTTAGTAAATAGTGCTGGGAAAACTGGCTGACCACATGCAGAAGACTAAAACAAGAGCCCAACCTATCACCATACACAAAAATCAACTCTAAATGGATCAGAGACCTAAACATAAAGCCTCAAACTATAATAATCTTACAAAAAACAGGAGACAACCTTATGGAAATTGGAACTGGCAACCACTTCCTGGTCACAACCCCAGATGTCCATGCCATAAGAGATAAGATAGACAAGTGGGACGTCATCAAACTGAAAAGTTTCTGCAAAGCAAAAGAAACCATCAAGAGAGCAGGGAGACAGACGACAAACTGGGAAAAAATATTTGCCAACTGCATATCTGACAAAGGCCTAACATCCAGGATCTACAATGAACTCAAACATGCCAAAAGGAAAAAACAGCCCTATTAAAAAGAGGGCCAAAGATATGAATAGACACTTCTCAAAAGAAAACATATGAGCAGCCAACAGATACATGAAAAGATGCTCAGCTTCACTAATCATCAAGGAGATGCAAATTAAAACTACACTGAGATACCGCCTAACTCCAGTCAGGATGGCCATCAACAATAACTCAAAAAATAGCAGATGCTGGAGAGGATGTGGTGAAAAGGGAACACTCCTACGCTGCTGGTGAGAGTGTAAACTAGTACAACCTCTGTGGGAAACAATGTGGTGATTTCTAAAAGATCTAAGCATTTACCTTCCATACGACCCAGCGATCCCCCTCCTGGGAATAAACCTGGAGGAACTCAAATCATTCTACCACGCACATGCATGTTTATTGCAGTACTCTTCACAATAGCAAAAACATGAAATCAACGGTGCTGCCAATCGAAACTGGACTGGATTAAAAAAATGTGGTACACATATACGATGGAATATTACACAGCCATTAAGAAGGGCAAAATTATGGACTTTGCAGCAACTTGGATGGGTCTGTAGTCTATAACACTCAGTGATCTATCACAGAAACAAAGAACTGAGTACCACATGTCCTCACTCATAAGAGGACCCTGAACATTTATCATAAGACTATATGAAAGGGATTGGCAGTCGCAGGATACCACCAGGGTGGCAGGGGGAACACAACATCAATAAGGGCACCTGATCTCAAACCAGGCGAAGTGAGGACCACAGGGAGGCCCAAACTTTACCTGTACGACGAACACTTATCTACCTAATCCTGAATTGTACTCCACATTTTTTTAAATCAAGAAAAGTAAAACAAAATAAAAATGATGGGCTTCTCTCACAGTGATTACACAGCATGGCATTCATGAGTTTCTGTTTCTTTTTCTTGAACTTCAGAAGACTGTGCTGTAATCGTTCCTATGATTGATGGTAACAGACAGGAAAGGCAGACATGGTGCTGTATACAGCAAGCATCCAGGAGAGAAACAGCGATGCTTGTAGGCAAAAGACCTCGATGAGTTTTACAGATCAATAATGGGATACCCAAACGGCCCATTTAAAATGCATTGCCTATCATTTTTTGATAGAACCTCAGTGTTGTCTGTAGATCAAAGAAAACTAGGTCTGAGTCTTCTGCAAAGAAAGTGTAAAACTATATATACATACATAAATAAATATATATATATATATATATATTTTTTTTTTTTTGCGCCAGAGTCTCCTACTCCACTGCCCAGGCTGGAGGGCAGTGGCACACTCACAGCCACCCCAGCATCAACCTGCTGAGTTCTGGTGATCCTTCTGCCTCAGTTTTCTAAGTAGCTGGAACTATAGGCATGCACTACCACACCCATCTAATTTTTTGATTTATTGTAGAGACGAGGTCTCACCATGTTGCCCAGGCCGGTCTCAAACCGGCAGGCTCATGCAATCCTCTGGCCTCGGCCTCCCAAAGTAGTAAAACTATATTAAGTCATGACCCAACAGTTCTAAGAAATGCAGAGAGGTATTACATAAAGATAAAAGGACCAAACCACCAAGAAGACATACAATTCTAAATGTGCATGCACTGAACAAGAGTTGCAGAACACATGAAGTAAAACCTGTAGAGCTAAAAGGAGAAATGAACAAATGCACAATTATAGTTGGGGATTTCAACCCTCCACTCTCACAACTGTAGAACTACTAGACTGAAAATCTGCAAGGATATGCAAGAGCTGAATAACAAATCAATCAACAAGATTTAATTGGTACAATAGGATACTCCACCCAATGACAGCAGAATAAACAATTGATTAAACACCCATGGAATGTTCACCAGCGATCATACCCTGAACCAAGAAACGAATCTCAACAAATGTAAAAGTATTAAACTTCTACCAAGTTGTGTATTTTGACCATAATGAATTCAAACTTGAAACAATAAAAATGAAAACAAAAAAATCTCTAACAATTGGCAATTTAAAAACAACACACTTTTGAATAAAACAAAAGTCAAAGAAAAAGTCTCAAAGTAAATTTTTAAGAAATACATAGAAGTATGTGAAAATGAAAACAAGACAACATCAAAATATATGGGATGCAACTACAGCAGTGCTCAGAGGGAAGTTATAGCACGAAATGCTTAAGTTAGAGATGAAGAAAGTCTAAAATCAATCATCCAAGTTTCTAACTCAAGACACTGGAAAAAGAAGCTAGCGATATACTAGAAAAACACAACCAAAGTAAGCAGCTGGCAATCATAATACGAGAGCAGAAATCAGTGACACTGAAAACAGGAAAGTGATATTTATAAAAGCAATGAAACAAAGTTTATTCTTTGTAAAAGTAAATAAAATTGATAAACCTCTAGCCTCACTAACAAACATAAAGGTAAAAAAGACAATATGCCAAGGTAAGTAATGAAATGGGATATCATTATAGATCCTGCAGTCATTAAAAACATAAGGGAATGCTATAAACAATTTTATGCTCATATATTTGACAACTCGGAAGAAATGGATCAATTTCTCAAAAACCTCCAACTATCAAAACACAATCTAATCCCATGTTCATGGATTAGAAGACACTAAATTGCTAAAATGATGCAACATACTATCTAAAGTAACCTACAGATTCAATGCAATCCTTACCAAATCCCAATGACTTTTTTTTTTTTTGGCAGAAATAAGCAAATTCATCCTAAAATTCATATGTAACCTCAAGGGACCCCACATAACAGCCAAAAGAATGTTGAGAAGAGAGAACATTGTTGGAGAATTCACACTTCCTGATACTAAAACTTACAACAGATATCTTAATGACAGTGTGGTACTGTCATTAAGAACAAACATATGTCCGAGTACAGTGGCTCAGGTCTGTAATCCCAGCACTTTGGGAGGCTGAGGCAAGACGATTGCCTGAGCCCAAGGGATCGAGACCAGCTTGGGCAATTCAGCGAGACCTCGTCTCCACAAGAAATAAAAAAATTAGCTGGGTATGGTGGCACGCACCTATAGTTCTAGCAACTTGGAAGGCTGAGATGGAAGGACTGTCTGAGCCCAGCAGGTTGGCCTCAGTGGCTGTGAATGTGCCACTGCACTCCGACCTGGGTAACAGACTGAGATTGGACTTAAAAAAAAAAAAAAAAAAAGCAGACACATAAACCAATGGTATATAATAGAAAGCCCAGAAATAAGACCATTCAATGGCGGGGGCAGGGGGCAGTCTTTTCAGCAAGTGATGCTTGGAAAATTGTAAAAGAATGCAAAAGAATGAAGTTGGATTCTGACCTTATACCACATACAAAAATTACTTCAAAATAAATCACAGAAGCTGGGCTCGGTGGCTCAGCCTGTCATCCCGCGCCTTTGGGAGGCTGAGGTGAGTGGACGGCCTGAGCCCGCGGGTTCGAGACCCGCCTGGGCAGCGAGACCTCATCTCTACAATAAATCAAAAAATCAGCCGGGCGTGGTAGCGCGCACCTGTAGTTCTGGCTACCGGGAAGGCTGAGGCAGAAGGATCGCCGGAGCCCAGCGGGTCGAGGCTGCGGTGGCCGGGAGTGGCCACTGCACTCCAGTCTGGGCGACAGAGTGAGACTCCAAGTCAAAAATCAATCAATCAATCAATCAATCAATCACAGATACAAACAGAAGAGCTAAAAAAACCTTAAAATTTTTAGAAGAGAACATTAAGGAAGAGTTTCATGACACTGGATTTGAGGGTGATTTTCTGGAAATAATACCAAAGGCACAGTGAGCAAAAAAGTAACAGAGAAGCTCATCCTTCATCAAAATTTAAAACTTTTATGCA